CAAGATAGGGTTTCTCTGCTTAGCTTTGGAGCCTATCCTGGTACTTACTCTGTGGCCTAGGCTGGCCTCAACTCACAAAGATCTGCCTGTCTCTGTCTCCCAAGAATGCTGGGACTAAAGGCATGCATCACCACTGCCTGGCTGGGCATTTTCTTATTAGTGATCCATGGGAGAGGGTCCAGTCCATTGTAATTAAAAGGTGACATCCTTGGGCTGGTGATACTGAGTCCTGTAAAAAAAAAAGCAGGGTAGCCTGGGTGTTGGCATGTCTTTAGTCCTAGCACTTGGGAGGCAGAGGCAGGTAGATCTCTGAGCCTGGTCTACAGAGTGAGTCCCAGAACACCCAGCACTACACAGAGAAACCCTTTCTCAAAAAATCCAAAACAAACAAACAAACAAACAAACAATCAAACAAAAAACCAAAAAACTCAACAAACAGCTGAGCAAACCATGATGAACAACCCAGTAAGCAGCTTCCCTCCATGGCCCCTGCATCAACTCCTGCCTCCAGGATTCTTCCCTGCTTGAGTTTCTGTCCTGACTTCTTTTGATGATGAATTGTGATGTGTAAGTGTTACCTTTTCCTCCTTGAGTTGCGTTGGTCATGGTGTTCTACCACAACAGCAGTAACCCTAGCTAGGACAGGGTGGTACTGCTGAGTTAAGGCTGTCTGTGTTGAGTTTACTCAAGTCACCAGCTTCTCTTCAAAAACAAATCACCTAGCTGCCCAGAGTACCTGCTCGCCTCTTTCCACAATAGCATCCCTATTATATACAAGTGAGGACATCATTCTGTGTTGCTAGACTCTCCTGGGTCTAAACATCACAACTAAGAGTTAGCATATGTCTTTACTCTTTCTGGAAAGTATAAGTGGGCACTAAATTCTGGGCAAAGCAATACCAAGCATTGAAAGCCTCCGGCCTACCGTGGAGCCAAATCACAATGGCCATATGCACACCCCAAATGCCATGCCTGAATATGGAGTATGGGTATCTTCTCTTTAGTCCAACTTTCCTAGTAGTTCCATTTAATTTCTTGACAAATGTTCACTGAGTCCAACAGCACAAAGAAGCTCCATCCACAAAGCCTCTGCTCCCAGAATGTACACAATAAAGAAGAGTTATCACATAATCATGTTCAAAGAGTCACAGAGAATAGGGAAAAAAAAAAAAAAAAAAAAAAAAAAACTCAGGGTGGTTCGGTATCACACAAATGGACTTCAGTGAAGGTAGAGGTGACTTCTCAAAGCGAAGACAATGTCCCATCATCAACAGGACTCCCACCATGGCATAATCTATTTGTAAAATGTTGCTTTGAAATTCAAGTATTTAACATTCTTATCCTTTAAGTTCCCTATCAATGTAAACATTAATATCAAATTCCCAGCCAGTTATTCATGTTTTAATGCCATCTAAACATATGTCTTATTAAGTTTTAGAAATGAACAATTTGTAAAATTTTTAAAGTAGAATTTCAATTTAAGCTAGGTGGTGGTGATGCACACCTTTAGTTCCAGCGACTGAGAGGCAGAAACAGGTGAATCTCTTGAGTTTGAGGCCAACCTGGTCTACAGAGCGAGTCCCAGGACAGCTATCAACTGACAGTGTAGGTTATAGAAAAGCACAGTACGAAGTTGGGATGCAGATGAGCACCAGGCTGGTCTCTGGGAGATGACTGATACTATCATGCTAACATTCGCCAACTGTGCTAACAGACCAGACCTGATATATTAGCTAAATCACAGATGATGCTATTTCCACCAAGCTTCTCCCACGGCACCAATTTTGGGGAAGTTATTGCCATGCATGAACTGGCTAAAATAAGTTATAAGAGAAAAGACAAAAAACAAAAGAGCATCTAACTTCACAGTTTTGAACTTTGGCACTAAGAATCCAGGAAGTGGCTGTAGCCATTTGTCCCAGAGAGTAGGGGCACACATTATTTTGCATATACTTTCGGGAGAACTTTGATCCCAGGGAGCCCATTCAAGGGTCCTCAGTTGAAAAGATGGCCTAGATAAAGGGTAAACTGCAAAGTCAGTTCCAGCACTACCAGGAGTTGAAAGTGTCAAAAGAAATCACTGTGCAACAAGTCATTTTATGCTACCTAATTTATTTTCACCCTCCACAGTAACCTTGGGAAAGAGGTATTACCATCTCCTTTCCCAAACAGGGAAAGTTATTTCCAGAGATTAAATAACTCACTTCACACACTGTGTTTGCTGTTTGCTGGCTCATAATCACAAACTGGAGAATTAAGGAATCAGGTATATATCCTAAAGATCTTCCATAATGGAGTTTTCACTCAGTGTTTCATTAATGCCATCAACTTTTCTACATATTTCTTCTCAATTTGACTTCATCAGTAAAAGCAATTCATATAGATTTAATTCCACAATATCATTTGCTGGCACGGGATAATCTTAAGACAGTGGTAAAAGCCCTGGCAATGTCAAAAGAAGGTACAAGTCTGTTCCATTGGTTTTTGTTTGTTTGTTTGTTTTGTTTTGTTTTGAAGGGTTGAGCTGGGTGTGTTTGGATGCATACATTTATGTGGGGGAAAGAAGTTAACCTCAGATATCAGTTCCTCTGGAGCCATCCACCTTAGTTTTTTGTTTGCTTTTGCTTTTTCAAGACGGGGCTTTTCAGTGTTGCCCTGGCTGGCTAGCTGTCCTAACAATCACTCTGTAGACCAGGCTGGCCTCAAACTCAAGGGATCCACCTGCCTCTGCCTCCAGAGTGCTGGGATAAAAGTTGTGCAACACCAACGCCAAGCACACCTTTTGTTTTGTTTTGTTTTTGGAAACATGCTTTCTCACCAACCTTTAGCCCACCAAATGGACTAGACTGGCTGGACAGGAAGGCCCAGGGATACACCTCTCTCCCTCCCTCTCTAGCAATGGGGTTTAAAGCATGTACCAACAGACATGCTTTTGGTGAGGAGTGGGTGGGTTATGTGGGCTCTAGGAATCGAACTCAGCTCCTTGGCCTTGCACAGTAAGCTCTTTACCAAAAGAACTGTTTCCATGGACTTCTTTTAAAACCCGAGGTAGCCCCACTCTTTCATTAAGATCGGACTTTTCAGTCACAAATGAAGAACTGCCAGAATTAAACTTCAGTCTTTACTTAAATTATGCAAGCCTAAATTCCAGCCAACCTGATTGTCTTTCAAATGGCGAATAGCTTTCAAAGGGTAAACCATATAGTAGTACACACCTTTAATCCCAGAGCTCTATCGAAGCAGAGGTTTGGGAGATCTACATAGTGAGTTACAGGATAGCCAGAGACCCTGCCAAAACCAAACAACAAAAACCACCCACACCAACCTCTAACAAATGCTAGTTGATTGGTAATACAAGCCTTCTGTAGGTAGATACGAGACTTTAGAGCTTTATGAAAAACCTGATGACTATATTTCCATTAGGAGATATAAAATACAACAAAAATGGGTTCAGCCACTAAATTTTGTGGTGCCCCAGAGATCAAAGCGTTCGGAGAAACACATCTGCCCTGTACATGGGAATTACCTACAATCGGCATCCTGTGTTAGAGACATAGAAGCCATTTAAGGGAAATCCATCTATACCAGGAATGAAAACTTAAGGGCAAGAGTGATTATGATTAGGTCCTTAAAGCTCTACTCTACCGCTTCCTACGAGGGTTGCCACCTAGTGATTTTAATTTTTCAAGCCCAGGCAGACTGCCAAGTCAACACTAAAACCGGACTAACAACTGATTTTTCCTATTGCAACACCAACTAGTCTTGTGCTTTCCCTCTGCCCTCAAACAGCAATCCTCACTGAAAATCAGCTAATTTGCTCTACAATCCCTTCCAACTGGAAGCGCTCCTAGGGCTGCCACCAGTGTCATTCTTCTGGGCAATACCAACAGACCAAGTGGCCAGCTGAAAAGGCCAAAGAGGGAAAAGGGAAGAAAGGGTAAGAGCTAAAACATGCAGCAACTGTGACTAGTGCATCGAGCCAGTTCTGCACTTAGGAATCCAGCTGCCAAAGTTCTACTACTTGGGCCCTGAACAAAATCTCTGCCAAAATAAACAGCTACAGGTGAGAAATCAAATTGCACGGGCACATGTAAACTCTGTACTCTGTATCCCAAACTTGACTCAAGGCCATGACCTTTCTCATCACCGAGTGCCCAGCTAAGCATTAGGAGTCACAGAAAAGGGTACTGTCAATCTAACCCAGCTACCTAACCTGACTTTCATTGACAGCATACCTTTAGCCACCTAAAGTAGCCTTCCACCAAACCGCGTAAGGCAGTAGAAATTATGGATTTCTGACCCCTTACCTGGCAGAGTCAAATAACCACACAATTCCTATGGAGTGCATTCTTGGTTGTGATGATCTTTGGGCAGCATCCTAAACTTTCACTTTAAACCCCATACAAAGAAGAAAACGGGGATAAAATACTTTTATTTTTAAAGTTAAAATGCCCAGGCATGGGATCCCACACTTTAGTCTCAGCACTTGGGGGCAGAGGCAGGCCAATCTCTTGAGGCAGCCTGGAGTACAGAGCACGGTCCAGGACAGCCAGGGTTACACAGATAAACGCTATCAAAAATAAAATAAAATAAAAATGTTCAAAATTCACTCTTTACCTTAAGAAACCCAGGGTTGGTCAAGGTTTCTTCTTAAACATGAGTGAAGCTACTTTTCAATACTGAGGACTCTTTCCTCCTGGGGTGTTTTTCATAACAAGGTCTGAACTGGAAGGATGTAGGTTAAAGTCCCTGCAGGTTTCCTATGTCCATAATTTTGAACTGGTGTTCTGACTGCACCCAGGTTTCCAGATGGGATCCACTTCCTTCACTGCCCATTACAGGGAGCCCCTAGAAAGCAGACTTTCTCAAATGCTCTCTATCCACCCCCTTCCCTCCTGTTCAGGAGCATCCTCAATGTGGCAAGCAGGGAAGATGGGCTGAAGCAACAAGAAAACTTCCCCGGGGTTGGGTACAAACTCCACCAGGGGGGCTGGACTCACCTTCCCGACAGAGCCCCATGACTTCGCGGTTTTTCCCAAACTCCTTGAAACTTTCATCCAATTCGGTCCCTAGGAGATATACACACACAGGAGGAGGGGAGAGGCAGGTCAGTGGCCAGGAGTGTGACGCACGATCACGCACGCACAGGGTAGGTGTGGGCACCTCCGCGTTCCACACCCAGCAAAAGATAGCATCTCTGACCCCCGAGGGGGCGGGTCACAGGACACGGCGCTGGGGGACGGGAGCGAGGCTGGAGAGGGGGGAGCAGGAGGGGGGGCGTGGGGAACGGGGAGGCGTGGACACTCACCATCCTTCCCAGGAAGTTTGGAAGCTTCCACCCACAGATTCCACGACTGTCCCAGCATCGCTTCGGGACTGGGCAGGGGCCTGCGCTCCCCCACCGTCGCCATGGCGGCGGCCGAGGTGGTGGCGGCCCCGGAGCCGCCGTCCTCCGGCCGTGGGCGCCGCGGCGGCGGGTGCTGCCGCTGGGGCTGCAGAGGCTGTGGCGGCTGCTGCTGCTGCTGCCGGGCGGCCGCTGCTCCGCCCGCCGCGCGGCGCGGCTCCCCCCTGACGTCATCCGCGGCCCGCTCCGACATTCTTTCCGCTCCTACAATGTAACAAAAAGGGGGAAAAGAGTGGCGCGGGGGCCGCTTTTAAGGAGGCGCCGCGGAGTTCCGGCGGCGTGCGCGGCCCGCAGGCCGGTGCCGCTGACAGCCCCGGGACCCCCCCGCCGCCGCCGCCGCCGCCGCCCCCGCCCGGGCGCAAAGTCCGCGGCGCAGCTGGCTTTCGCTTTCGCCTCCCGCGGCCCTCGTAGGGCGCCGGCTGCGGCCGCCGCTGCGGCGCTGGCTGCCCGGCCCGGCCGCCCGCATCGGGAGGCCAGCGCCCCGAGCCACCCTGCCGTGCGCGGCCTCGGCCCGCCCGCGCCCCGGCCCGCCGCTGCCCACCCTGCGGCCGCTCGCATCCCGGCCCGGCCGGCCGGCCCGCAGCCCCGTTCCTTCCTTCCGTCCGCGCGTCCGTCCGAGCGGCGGCGCCCGGCCGGCTCCCTTAAGCGGAGGCGCCTCCTGTCGCCTCCTCCCCCTCGCCGGTCCCTCCCTCTCTGCTCGCTCCGGCGAAGTTTGCACGTCAAGCCCCCGGAGTGGAGCCAGGGCGAAGTCGGAAACGCAGCCACCTATGGAAGAGCCGGCCGGTCGGCCCCGGCGCAGCGACTAGTGCGTCGCCGAGGCCCTCCCTCCGGAGCCTCGGGCACCGGCGCTTCGCTCTGAGCTCGCAGGCGGCTGCACAGTAGCTGGAGCATGAATGGGAAGCCGCCACTGTGCGGGCGCCCAGGAGCAGCCTAAGGAGCCACGGGCAGGTGTGAAAATGCCGCCCAGGTGTTAGCCCAGGTGTGGGCCTCAAGCCCCCAACTGCATGAGTAGCCTCCTACGTGTACCTCGATGCCCACAACTGAAGGTCACACTGTGTGTCCTGGGAACTTGAATTTCTTCTCCAGCAAGAAGGGGCCCACGAAATCAGTGTATCACTTTAGGTCGTTAGACTGTCACTATTTATGGTTGTATTTCCTAGGATCAGATGAGAGCCCATGGTTTAAGGAATATACAAAAGACAACTGTGTTCGGTCAAATTTTACCAACTGAATCTAGGCACTAGCACATAAATTTAACTAACACCCTCCCCTCAATATACACATAAACAACTTTGGTTGAGGATCATCAAACAACTAAAGCATCTGTCGCAGCGGGTCCCACAAGGAACCTATAGTAAATATGAAAACTGGAGTTAAAACTGTGCATATGATGTTTTCACTCTTCTAACCAGTCCAAAACCTGTCTACAGGTGCTTTCAAAACTAGGAGAGGAGGAGACATGTACTTCCCGTTACTATCACTTGTTTGTCTTTAAAGGCAAATATCTAGTAAGAGGGGCGACCTACTTCTCTGTTGAAGAAATGTCTATTTACAAAAACCTTTAAAATGTTTAACAATGAAAGCAAAAGAGATTACAGAGCCAGGCGTGGTGGTGCACGCCTTTAATCCCAGTTCTCAGGAGGCAGAGGCAGAAGCAGGAGGATCTCTGAGTTCCAGACTAGCCTGGGCTACAGAGTGAGTTACAGGACAGGCTCCAAATTAAAAATACAAAACAGGCAGTGGTGGCATGCACCTTTAATCCCAGCACTTGGGAGGCAAACATATCTCTGTGAGTTCGAGACCAGCCTGGTTTACAAGAGGTAGTTCCAGGACTGCCTCCAAAGCCACAGAGAAACCCTGTCTCTAAAAAAAAAAAAAAAAAAACAAAAACACAAACAAACAAAAAACAACAAAACTGAATATGGAAACATTTTCACAATATATTAAAATCCAGACTCAGTGAAAAGGGTTTGATTTAGGTGAACATTAAAAACCTTAAACTGGCTGGACAGTGGTGGCAAAGACCTTTAATCCCAGCACTAGAGGGGAAAGAGGCAGGTAGATCACTGTGAGTTCAAGGCCTGCTTGGTCTACACAGTGAGTTTCCAGGACAGGCTCCAAAGCTACAAAGAAAAAACAAAACAAAACAAAAAAGCTTGCACTGGGTGTAATTTGGAGCTATGTGCCCAGAGTTCCCAGTTACTTGGGAGGCAGAAGCAAAAGTAAATGCATTATAGTAGTTCCCGCCAAGACTGAGAAACACAATAAGAAGTTGTCTTAAGTAAATAAAGAATAAATACAATTTCTGGCTAGACATATTTAGAAATTAATATGTAATTTTTTCATGAATTGCACACAAAGAAATCCAGAAATAATGAGTGCTTATCACAGAAAGTTGTTCCTTGAACCCTCAGGCTCTACCCCTACAGACTCAACTAACTGCAGGCTGAAAATATGCTTTTGATGGTTTTAAAATTGTATCTATACTGAACATGTACAGTTTTTTTAAAAATTCCCTAAATTTAAAACTGTCTACTATAATTGACATTTTAGTATTATAAGTAAGCCAGAGATGATATGATATATATGGAAGGATGTAGCTTATGTGCCTTTTAATAGAAGGGACTTGTCAATTCGGGACTCGGGGGGGGGGGGGGGGTCCTGGAACCTAATGCCAGGGGATAGTTGTAAGGGAAACCGAGACAACTGGAAGCTTTTTCAATTTAAAAAAAAAATATTTCTAAGTTTTAACTTCCTATGTAAAAGTATCAATGAGCAAAATGAAAGGTTAAAAACACATTATTATCAGTTAATAATTCAACATAGCTTGTGTGTCTCCACTGCAGATATTAAAATTTTTCATTAATCCCGAATCATTGAAATATTTGCATGAATGTTTCCCAAGATACATACAATTTATTACTTTTAATTTTGTAATTCTACATTTAAGACAAATTTAAATGTGAATTCCTTGCAACTGCTCACTTAAAGCAAAGCTTAGAAACAACCATTGGGGGCCTGGAGAGATGATGGTTCAGTGGTTAAGAGCACTGGCTGCATCTTTCTAAATGCTCTTCCTAGAGGTTCTGAGTTCAATTCCCAGCAACCACATGGTGGCTCACAGCCATCTGTAATGAGATCTGGTACCCTCTTCTAGCCTGTAAGCATATACATGAAGGCAGAAATGGGAGGAAAAAAGAAAAACACAACCATTTAAATGTCAAGCTATTTGATACTAAGGGAAAACCTGACTACAAATGTTGTTATTGTTGAAAGTATTGGGTGAGAATGAAAATAAAAAGATGAATCATGTTTGCTCTCGCTTCCTCAAAAAGTTTGTAACTGGTATAATAAAGCAGAACAGAGCTTAAAATTATAAGCACTAAATCTCGACAGGCGCTGGTGGCGCATGCCTTTAGTCCCAGCACTTGGGAGACAGAGGCAGGTGGATCTCTGTGAGTTTGAGACCAGCCTGGTCTACAGAGCGAGTTCCAGGACAGCCTCCGAAACAATACAGAAACCCTGTGTCAAAAAACAAAAACAAACAAACAAACAAAAGTAAGCACTAAATTTCAACATCATGGCAGTTAGTAAGCATTATAATAGCTATTGATTACCTACACGGTACAAGGGACATGCCAGAGGTTCTCTAGTGCATTGTTTCAACATTCACTGTTGTATACTGTCAATGTTGTGTTATTTATAACTGAGAAAGATGCTAAGTGTGGTGGTGCCCACTTTTAATGCCAGCACAGCAGAGGCCAGTCTGATCTACACAGTGAGTTCCAGAACAGCCAGTGCTACGTAATAGAGAAACCTTCTCTTACATTTTTGGTTGTGAGTTTAGCCTTTAATGGATGAACCAATGAAACCAAACAAAGCCCCCAACTAACAAGAGAAGGAAGGGGAGGTTGGGCTCCAAAGCCAGTCTTCTTAGTGCTGGTCTGATAGCAGCTCTTCCACTTACAAATAGACAACCTTGAGCAGGTTCCCTAGTTTCCCAGTATGTCAGTCTTCTAGTCTGTGAAGTGGAGATAAGGCCAGGCTTCTGAGGACCACAGGAAAAGGTCCTTTGAAAGCACTTGGTATCAAGCTTAAATACTGTGACTTACATAAGACTGAGCAAGGCTGCTGAGTGCTTATCAAATGATATTTGCCACCAAATGAAAGAGGATGTAGCGACATGCAACTCCTGGCATTTCTGGGACAGGTCCTCTTTGTCTTTACCACCCATCAAAGGCCCTGATGCATTCTAGAAGGGCAGAGTCTGGTATTACCCACAGCTGTTTTAGGTCTCCTAATTAGTAGTTTGAAGGAGTCACCAATGAAAGTAAAAGGGAAAGTTGGGAGAGTAAGAAAGTGTATCATCTGCTATTCAAATGTGGGCAAGCATTTTAAAGTACTCCTTACACAAAGAACACTATTTGTGAACAATAATATAATAGAAACTGAAAAACTTACTTTTTCCTCTCATGAATATGTTTCTACACATTCCACCCCCATACCCACTCCCAAACTATAAAGAAAACGGCCCACACACACTCATACACATTTAATATATTGTTATGATAAGCTAAGTGTGACTTGTACTAAATCAATACTTCAAGTACTTCAATACCTGTCTATACATTAAATGATACATATTTTATAAGGTATGAATAAGGAGGTTGCAATTTACCAAGCAGTTCCTAACTGTTTACTAGGCATCAGAGTAAAAAAGTAATAATAATTTCATAGGATACACAAAAAGTGAACAATTAAGCATTTATCAAAACATCTATATTAAAAGCTGCCCACAGCAATCAGAATGTTTGCAGCTTAAAAATAAAACTGCAAGCCAGGAGTTTGTGGTGCACACTTTTAGTCCAGCACTTGGGAGGCAGAGGCAGGCGGATCTCTGAGTTCGAGGCCAGCCTGGTCTACTGGGCTAGTTCCAGGACGGGCTCCAAAGCCACAGAGAAACTCTATCTTGAAAAAAATAAAACTAAAATAAATAAATAAATAAAACAAAAAACTGCAGTTGAAAGCCCTGTCTGCTCTTACAGAGGATGTGGGTTCAATTCCCAGCACCCATATGGAAGCCTGAGTTCATGTGATTTTATGCCTTTTTCTGGCTTTTGTGGGAACCAGGCACACAAATATGTATATATATAGAAATCTTTTTTTCTTAAATGCTGCCAAATTCTGACCATTTCATCTCTTCAAAGACACATAAAAAACAAAAACAAAAACAAGAAAAGCAGGCCCTTCATTGTCCACTGTCCACGTGAGGTGCCGGGCTAACATGGTCTCTCTTTATCACAGCTCTCGTGGAGGTATACTCACCCACACATGGTTCATTCAAAGAGTTATAATGCACAGTAAGAGAGACGCAGAAGTTCATCTGCCCACCTTCTACATACAGTGTAATGTAAAAGAGTCTAAACCTGACAAAACGCTCTAAAATTCAAGAGCCTGCACAGCACTTTTATTCTGGGAAAACTACTAGTCTCAAAACAACATTTTAATAACCCTGAAAAGCAGTAAGTTAAGTATATTTATATGTGGGCTCACAAGGTTGGTAACAGAGATACTTTATTATCAACTTCAAAGGTTTCAAGTTATTTGAGTAACGAGATTATATCACACTTGCTGAATTAGAACTGCCTTGCCTTTCCTTTCTTCCTCCTTTCTTCCTTTCTTCCTTCCTTCCTTCCTTCCTTCTTTCTCCCTTTCTTCCTTCCTTCCTTCCTTCCTTCTTTCTTTCTTTCTCTCTTTCTTTCTTTCTTTCT